TTTTTTTTTTCACCCCCACCTTGCGAAATCTGCTCATTTGTTCTCTGTTGGTAGGAATGGTTTGAAATGTTTGCTTGGCTAGATAAGTAATCATTTGATTATTTAAATGAGTGTAAGAAGTCCTGCATAAACATGTACAGGTCAGTTTTTGCCAGACTCGTTACAAGGTTTGATTCTTTGGTTGTACAGATCTATTGAAAAAAGAGAATAAAGTTATTAAAAACATTTCGTGTCGTATTTTAGTTTTTAAATCATTGTGACTTGTAATATACTGTTCCAATCAAGCGTTTGAAGTGTTCTCTAAAGGTAAAGACTTTTTGAATGTCTAATTAAAAAAATTAATCTAAGCAACATTTGTCCTTCAGGGACAGTATAAAATATTGTTTCAAAATCAGTTTTTTATTTTATTCATATTTTTGTTCAACAAGAATACGTTAAAACTATGAAGTGACAGGGAAGACTTTTACATTGCTATAAAATGTCCTGCTGTTCTTTTGAACTTTCTGTTCATAAAAGACTCATAAATTAAATAAGACAACTGACCATTGTTTAATGTTTCTTGAGCACCAAATTAACAATGATTTCTGGAGGGTCATGTGATCCTGAACACTTAACTTTGCTATCACTGGAATGAACATTTTAAAATATATTAAAATAGAAAAAAAAAGTTTTTACATTGTAATGTTTCAAGTATTATTTTGTTCAAATAAATGCAGCTTTGATGGACATAAGGGGCTTCTTTACAAAAACATAAATGCTCATTTCTACTTTATAGTAGTTATAGTTCATAACCTCTAGAGGGAGTTAAAGACCATTTTATAATCACGTTTCCACTCTCCAAGGCTGAGTTCATGCTTTTGAGCTCTGTAATCCCAACAATGACATTTCCAAGAGCAAGGATATTCTCTGAGACGTGCCAGTGTAAACACTTCTAAATGAGAGACTGCTTTTATCCATCCTAATTCTGCAGCCTTTCTTGGCGAATGACTTGTTTGCTAGGAAGCTAAAGTGGAGTCATCTAGTTAACTCGTGAGAAGGTCTTTAGTTTGAAGCGGTTGTGCCTTTTTTTTTAAACCAGAGAAATGAGCATATTGTGGGTGACCTTTGAACTCTGCTACAGCAGAGAGAGGTAGTAAGTGACACTTGTACCTGAGCTTTTGTCCAGAATAATTTGATATTTTCATTCTTATCGTGTACAAAACGCTCCTGGCAAATCCCTGATGATTTCAGAGGGCTTTCAAATGAAATATCTTTCTGGTCTTTCAGTTCCTTGTTTCTTAATTGCTGTTGATTGAATTTATTGGCTGATATGAGTTTGAATCTTTGGTTATGAAGTGACATGAAATTGTCCATCATCAGCATCACATTCATTTTAATATTGTCCGGTATGTAGGTGACACCACGTCTCTGGTTTTTCATGCTGTTGCAGACCAGCAAGTCAAGCAAATATGTCTAGACTCCATAATGACAATATATTTATTCATCCAGTGCTGTAATTCTATTCAATTTGAATTTTCTAAATCATAACTCTCCCTGCAAGTGAGTAAAAATGGAAAGATATGCCTTGTAATCAGCCAACTGGCTTGTTTGGGGTTTAAACTCGAGAAGCCCCAGAGTGTATTTATTACTCACTGATGGCTGCTCTGTCATTGAAACACATCATAAAATTTGCAGATTATGCCACAATAAATTATCTGATGAGAAACAAGGTAGTGGATCTGGCAATAAGGTGCTAAAATGGCAACTATGGTGTATTTGTCAGTAAAACTAATGGGCTGACAATAGAAAGCTTGCTACAGTTTTCTCTTTCTGTACATTTCTGTCAGACTGGAATGTGTTTTTTTTATAGCTGTGATTGCAAGGTGTTGCCATTCAAAAGCCCAAAACATTAGGATTATTCATCACAATATACATTGGCTGAATAAATCATGTTATGATTGACGTAACAGTCAATTAGTAAAACATACTGGTGTTACCATACACCTCAAGTCAAGATACAAACTATCATAGTCATTTTTTTTTTTATTCCAATATAAACCACCATACTGAAACACAATTTCCCCAAGACAATAATTATAATAATACAAATGAATATACATTAGAGTGCATTTTGGGAAATCATCAACTGATAGACAAATCTAGTTTAAGATGGTATCTTTATATTTTCTGCCTATCTAGTCCAAGCTGGTCATTACCTAGTACAACTTTTATTTTTATCTCTTCAAACCTGGTCATCTGCTAGTCCAAGTTGGTCATTAACTAGACAGAGCTTGTCAGTAGGCAGACCAACCTGGTAGACCAATTTTGGACCAGCAACAAACATATTTTTAGAACATGATAGCTGGCCAACCAGTTGATAGCTAACTTAGACCAGCTAGAAACTAGCTGCCCTAAGTTCTAAAACACAGCTACTGGGATTTTTGTGCAGGCTGATATCAACAAAAGTTTATCTTATGTTACATGCCACAAAATGTTGTTTAAGGAAGTGTTTCCTAACTTATTTTTTTGTCCTACAGCCCCTCAATAAGGCTTAAATACCCTGTCGCTAACTCCAGATCAGAAATGTTTCTTTTAACTAAAATAAAACTGAATATCATCATTCAGCATTATTAATATATATATATATATATATATATATGCTACAAATATGTGACCCTGGAGTTATGTGTCTTAAGTCGCTTGGGTATATTTTTAGCAATAGCCAAAAAAAACATTGTATGCCAAATATTGTCCTATACTAACAAACCATACATCAATGGAAAGCTTATTTATTCAGATGATGTATAAATCTCCCTTATGACTGGTTTTGTGGTCCAGGGTCACATATATATTAGTAGCATATACTGTATATTCAGTTACAAATGGTGTTCACACTAATTTATAAAACTAGCACACATTTTGTTTGCTTTCTGAAAAGGGCTAAAAGATCACAATGAGTTAAACTGATTGACAACTGTAACAACTCATGATTTCTGTTTTACAGGTTAAGCTAAACAAAACTGAAATCTTTCAATGTAGCGTGGTTGGGAATCACTGGTTTAAGGTATGTTATGATATTTGAGTAACACTTCACATTAAGGTCTCATTTGTAAATGTTAGTTGATGCATTAATTTACATGAACTAATAACGAACAATACATTTTATATAGTTAATAAAAAATGTCCATGTTAGTTCACAGCGCATTAACTACTGTAGTGTTAACAGAAACAACTTTTGATCTTTAAAATGTATTAATAAATGCTGATATTAACATGAACTAAGATTAATAAATGCTTTAGAAGTTTTATTCATTGTTAGTTCATGTTAACTAATGTTAACAAAAACCTCATTGTAAAGTGTTACAGATGTTTGTAATGTAAAAATAGATTTTATATCAGTACTGTTTTCATTTACTGTACAATTCTAATATGTTCTCACTATGTAATGTGTGGTTTCATATGGTAATAAGAGATCAAGGAGCACTGAGCGTCTTCCAATAGTGGTGCTGTTTCACTTCATAACGGATATACAAATGTCTGACTCATCCCTCTGATGGCGTGCCATCCGTGGAATAGAAAACCTCATTTATCAGTATTCATTCTGTATATAATTCTGTGAGTATTTTTCATTCCTTTTCAAAGAATATGACAGATTTTTTCCTAATATAAGAACTCTCGTGTCAGGTGCTGATGTGATGTGATAACATGACCACTAGATGGAGCTGGAGCTTGATAATTCTGCTAATCCTGAATCCCTGTTTTTTCTTTTCGCTCAATGAGATCATCAATTTCTGGAGTGTCAGGACCATCTCCATTACAGGGCACTTAAATGAGCTTTTTGTCTGTCTGATCTCCGTCAACTAGTGGTAATGCGTGCGCTCGCACAAGCCGAGATGAATCTAATGAAGGCACTCAAGCACACACAACCTTTATTCAGACGTCTTGAAAGGCTGTGCTTTTTAGCTCATCACTGGACAGTGGTAATTATCCGAGGTCACCCTTGTCTCGCTTTCTGCCGCCAGACAGCCGAGGCCCTTAAAGCTTTGAAAACTGTGTGCGAACACGATGGATATTCAGACATCTTCTGTCATGCCAATGTTACACAGTACGGAAGTGCTGGAATTAAATGAATGTTATTGTCTCCTGAGGGGCCGTTTAACATCAACACATTTCTTATTCGATTGTTCTGCTCGGGCACGGCTAAATTACACTTAAATTTTCGTATCGCACCTCCCTTCTCATTTTCAGTAATGAACGGGCAGAGGCTGAAGTCCATTCTGCGGCCACCAAGGACACTTTTCTTTATTACCGTCCATTATGAGGCCGAATGTTTCTGTTTCTGTCTTCTGTCTAAAACCGTAACCGAGATCCCAGCCTTCCGAGACGGAATAATCGAGACTTTCTCCGCAAGGGCGATTCTGAAGCGTTTCAAAGTAATCTGATACCTGACCATCAAGGCTTAAGGCTGATTTATCCTTTCATTAATACAGTCTAAGGAACAAATTGATTTTAAAACACACTGAGCATTGATATCTGTGCTTTTTAAAGACCTTTTGAACAGATACAGTGGCTCTAAAAGTATTAAAATCACCTTAAAAACATGAAGGTCATTGCTTTATATAGAAAAATATCAATCCAAGCATAATTTATTTGGAATAAAACACTTTTCAGGCAAAAAATTGCACAGAAAGGTTATATATAAGTTATTTAAATTAATGGTTTTTCACATGCTCAAAAAATGCAGTTAGTTCTTGAAAAGCATGTATTTTTTTAGGTAACACTTTATTTTAAGGACCAATTGCCACTCTTAACTAGCATGCATGCTACTAGCATATTTGCCGTTTATTAGTACTTATAAAGTACATATTAATGCCTTATTCTGCATATTTTAGATCCCTTAATCCTACCCCATAACTAAACTTAACAAATACCTTACTAACCATGAATAAGCAGACAGTTAGGAGTTTATTGAAGCAAAAGTCATAGTCAATAGCGGGAATTCCGAGTTACATCTTCCGCCATTTTGGAGAGTATCCAAGAACGTATTCGACGTAATCAGCGTTGTTTACGTTCGGGGGGAAAACGCGCGCATGAACGTAATCGGCGTAATCAGCGTTGTTTACGCTTAGGGGAAAGCGTGCGTATGTGTTGTGATACTCTCTAAAATGGCGGAAGATGGTAACTCGGGGGAGAAGAATTGTTGAATAAAGCCTTTTTTTTGTTTTCTTTGTGCACAAAAAGTATTCTCGAAGCTTCGCAAATTGAAGTTGAGCCACTGATGTCACATGGACTGTTTTACCTATGTCCTTACTACGTTTCTGGACCTTGATCATGGTAATTACATTGCTGTCTATGGGAGGGTCAGAGAGCTCTCCAAAATCATCAAAAATATCTTAATTTGTGTTCTGAAGATGAACGATGGTCTTACGGATTTGGAACGACATGAGGGTGAGTAATTAATGACAGAATTTTCATTTTGGAGTGAACTAACCCTTTAAAATAAAGTATGACCATTTTGCAGATGTCAGTTAGTTTGTTACTTATTGCATTTCATTTCGATATTTTTGGGGCCACAGTTTGTTGATCAAAAATAGAAAAAGTGCATATCCAAATCCCCAAATTTGTCTTGAATGCAGAGCAACAAAATCAAAATCCCCTGCCACATTATGTTAATACAATTCATCTTTATTTGAAAATAATGCTGAGAAAAAGCATCCTAATAATGGTTTTTAGTTTATGCTTGCCGCATGACTGTTAAACTAGCTTCAACCATGTGACGCAAAGCGAATTGTGACATTTGGTCTCTGGCATCCTCAACAGAATCTGCGAGGAACAGTGACGTGCGACAAAAGGACAGACACTTGGAGACATCGAGTTAAGTAACTGAAGGTTCACATAAAAGCGTGTAAAGGGCCCTCAGCAGCTCTCCTTACACTGACACCATCTGCTTGGCACTGATGTGAACTCGCGCGTACAGCACAGCCTCTGTTTGCGCTTAGCTTCTCGAGCGGCTGATGAATTGAGCGTCTGCTTTGAAGCGTGTGCCAATAACTTTGATGGCAGATCATTAGAATGAGCGCTAACATCTTTTCTGAGTGGCCTTTTTTGTTACATTCCTTGATGTGTACAGGTGTGGATAAAGGAGGAAAGATCCAGATTTGAATTTGAATATAGTGAATCGCACATGGCCTAAATTATGCTGTTAGTGTCGCTGTGGGCATCTCATAATACCGACAGGGGCACAATAGCACAAATGCTATATTGGGCTCGTGAAAATGTGACAGATTCGTCGAACCGACATTTCTGTAAATAAAGCAACAGCCATATGTTGTCTATGGAACAATCTGTGCAGGGAAATAAAACAGAAATGGATGTTTGGATGTGATCAGAAACAGCAATTCATGTGACAGGATAATGCACATCAGATAACGTGATTGAGGAAGTGATCAATGCTCATTTAGTGATGATGTGACAGGACTATGAATTTATTTGGAATTCACATACTGACCATGTCAGTAACACGACTGAAAATATCTGCATTGATTCCATTGATTCTTGGGTCTTTTGAGCCAGATTTGATTTGCTTCAAAGGACAAAATGGCGGTTTAATTCATCCTTTTCCCAGTTAGTCTTAGTGATTTTAATCATTTTAGGCTTTTTGAGTTAAATGTGGGATTTAAGAAACTAGTATCACTTGTTGATTTCAGAACGGTTTTAGTTATAAATGCTTAACAAAAGAAGAAATGCTTTAAAATGCAAAGTTCAAATTTAAACTCAACCAATGAGGTAGTCGGAATTCTCCGAAATTTTTAAAAATCAAATTTAAAATCAACCAATGCAGTAATTAACTCATTTACCAATTAAAACAGAAAGAAAGAGTAGTGGACCAGCCAATTAGAAATTAACAACCATAAATTGGGTTGTCTCTTTAGGTTATTTTTTAGGTAAGGTTATTTATAGTGGGTATATTTGTACTCTTCAGGATGACAAAACAAGGATTTGTAGTGCCATGATTGCAAGACATTTTGCATAGTTCTTCAGATTTGAATAGTGATCATTCTGGGTTTCGAAAACGTATCAAACTAAAGAACTTTTATAATAATTTCTAAGAACCAGAACGCTGCTTTGAAAAGTGACAACGTGATGAGACTCCATTCTTTATAATTTCAACCTCCATTAAAACTGTTTCTTAAACATGAAATATTATCTCTCTAATTATCCATTTAAAGATCTGAGCAGATATTTTCTAACTCCATTGTCAAATTGGCCATTTTAGGCAATGTTTGGCACATTACATTTTTCTCTCTAATTGCAAAATGCACAGGCTCTAATTGGACAGATCTGTGTTGTGCACTTAGTCTAGTCTTTAATAAGGGTCTTCAGTTCAGACGTCTTTCTCCGCTGTTTTTGAAGACTTAATGGATTTCCAGAGACATTAGATTTAACTTAATAATGGTGAGGGTTGCGGAATTAATAAAGCCTGCCTTCAAAACCGGCGAATGCAAATGTATATATTTAAATATCCTCTTGATGTGTGTTTCTTTTAAAGTTGCATTTCAATTTCATTTCATCAAACCCGACAGCCGTGTCTCTGTTTATGTCACGAGCAACATGAATATGCATATGGTGAATGGTAAAATTCATAAGCGTAAGAAACTGATGCCTCATCTCGTGGCAGCAGTGTATTTATTATGTAGATGATTTTATGGCTGATCTATGCGGCAAAATGTACATGAATAGATTTGTTTTTGTGCGATCAGACAATTAAAGGTGTCAAAAATGTTTTGAGCTAATTCTGCAACTGGTAATACAGTTCTAACAAGTAAATGATACTCTAATAAAAGGTCTAATGAGGTCCGCAGTGTTCTTTAATGAACCAGTAAACGTTTGGCCTCACAATAAACATATCCCTAAATGCTCTTTAAGGCTTATATGCAATGAAACACTCGGGACATCATGTAGATATTTAAAACCTTGCTCCGAACAGTAATTTCCTGTTCAATTATGCCAAATCTCAATGAGCCATGATTCTAAAAACAGCCCCCTTTGACGGCCCAGTTCTGATCTGGCATAGCGCCTCATCATAATGCCAGAGAAAAGACAAGGCATGAAACACAACATGCTTTCAGGTGGTCAGATGAAATGTTATTTTGTACTTTCTTTCAAAACGAAAGGCAACTGTGCTGAATAAACTATTTTGCCCACCATTATGCTTATCAAATCCTATTATGAAATGATGTCATTTCGATTATCTTAAATACCCTGTAAAATGTTATGCCAAAGCCTATCAGAAATTGAATTGCGTATTGAATTACGATGGAATGGAACGGCAGTGGTGATGCATATTTGAACTTAACAGAAATGACATTTCAGGCTAAGAGCAGAAGGGAGCTCAATTATTATTAATACTTATTAGAATTAGTAATGTCAATAAAACTTTTACATTGAAAACAATAGTATCTTTGACACGTCATTTATTTTTTTCTTTTTCAAAACGGTGGTCTTGTCGTGCTCAAAGCCCGAGAGAGTATAAACTGAGAGGGGAGAGAGATGTTTCGTTTTCTGGGTTGTGCCCCACAGGTACCCGTGTGTCAGTTTACCAACAAGCTGCCCGCTAGGCAGTGAGGTGAGACAGTGGGTTCACCTGCCAATCAAGAGCATCTCAGCCTCCCTCCTCTGGACACCGGCTTTATGTGGGCTCTTTACTTCAAGAGTTCTGACTGTTGTTCAGAAGCTATTTTTAGCAGGAGAGGCGAGAAGAGGAAATATGAATTGGTATAGGTATAGACTAGAGAACAAAAAAGAAGAATGATGAGGTGTCGTTGGGCCGCGGAGCCTCTCAAACAGAGCTGCAGGAAATAAACAGCAATCACTGTAGCATGACTGAAAATCCACTGAGCAGGCAGCCTTAATTGAGCCCCTCTCTCTGTCTATTTCCTTTTCGCTCTTCCCCCTCTCCATGGATAATAAGCACAAGATCCCTTAACCTTTTTGTGCATTTTAAAGACCATTAATTGATGTGTGAAACTGCATTTTGCAGAAGTCGAGGGGTCCAAAGACCCTCAGGCGGTGTGTGATAGCTCAGATATTTCCAGTTTAACGTCTCAACGTGACAGATGGGTGTTGCTGAAGGAGGTGTATTCTGTACAGTCAATATATGAGTATACACAGCAGTGGAAAACAATAATCATACATACTATTTGCACGTACGCTTGAGAATGTGATTACAAGTATTGATTTATGATATGCTTATGTTTAAGGCATGTATTCTTTGGTCAGTGAGTAGGAATTTATTGCTGTTAGATTTTAGCACCTTATAGATATCATATTTGCATACTGGAAAAATTGGTGTAGAAACCGTTTTCACTTGAAAATTGCTAGGAAATTTCTCACACAATTACAAAGAAACAGCTAGTAACACATTGAAGTTTTGAACTTGTAAAACACTCCAATCATTTGTTTTGTTTTCAATTTTAACATTTTTTATATTATGTGTAATGTTATATCATTAGCACGTGATATGGCATGTTTACAAACGTGATTTCTCAATATAATAATTAGTTCATAATAAGAAAAACAGCTATTTGTAAACCCTGAAGATTTAGGGGGGAAAAAATGACATCCTCCATTGATTTAATCACACAAGCCTGTGTGCAAATTAATTTACGCCCTACTTGCTTTTTGGACATGTTTGAGCAACTCAAAACAAACAGAAGGTAAGTTATGAATTCTCTTTGGGGAGAAGTATTAAAAATTAATCAGTGCTTATTAATATGATCTGCGATGTAATATTTCTCTATCTTGGGTTGCAATTAAAAAAATCTAGCAGAAAAAGATCACTGCGCTGCTAATTCTACTCTGGATCTTGGGTGTGATATTCAGATGAATCAGTGCATCACTCGGACAGACTTTCCGTAGCTTTGTTTACATTCGCTTCTTTAAGTTCTGCGTGTGTATAATATGAATCCGCTACGCTTGTGTGTTTCTACGGCGATGTGACAATAATAAAAGTGACGCGATACGATTCGATCCGATCCGATCCGATCCTCACGCGCTGAGCCCCGGGTGGGCGGGGCCATGCTAATGACGTCAATGGAATGGGTGAGGTGACGAGCCCCTTCTGCGCTCCGCCCCGTGTGGGTGACGGGAGGGGGAGGGAGCCAGGCAGAGCTGATCCCACGTGTGACGCTCGCATTCCCGGCTCAGTAATATTCTCTTAGCTCTGACAGTGTGTGTGTTAGTTACTGGCCATAGTTGGGTTAGCCATGGAGGGAGACGGGAGCCAAGCCACATCTGGAAGCCCTAACGATTCGCAACACGACCCGGGGTAAGCCAGAGCCAATACTGACAGCACTTGACTTTTTTCCTTGTGTGTTTTTCTCCAGTGAACATGTTTTAAAAACGCTCAAGCTTACCAGTCAAACACGTGTAACGCATCGCTGTCAGCTCCTAATGTATGTCTGTGTTTTTGTTTGTTTTGTTTTCCAGGGGATTTGGCTTCGTTACGTTTGTGGATGCGGCCAGTGTAGATAAGGTCCTAGCTCAACCTCACCACGAATTAGACTCAAAGACGGTACGTTCCCTTCTATTTGCGTTTGTTTTGTGAAGTGCTGTTTAAACATGCTTGTATCTGTGACATTCAGTGGTGAAAAGACACGTAGTCTCCCTATCATATCCCTTCCCGTGTCGAGGCTTTCTGCGGCATTTGTCATTGTACCACACACACAACAGCGGGGCACTTGACATAAATAAGTAGCTGGATAATTAGTCCTATCTTCCTCACATGCCTCAACAGGTTTTAACCCCTTGCTTGCCAAACCGGAACTGGGGAACAAAGGGTTAAATCTCATTGAGGTATGGGGGCAAGAAGGAACTAATTACCTGCGGCGTTGTTCAATCGTGACTCCAGCTGTGTTCAGGGCCTCTTGTGATGTAAGACTTGCAGTGTATGTAGTGTTTTGCACTCTTGTTCCTGATTGAATTTTCCAGACAGAATGTTGACTCCGGATGTTGCTCAGGGCAAGAATGTATTTTGGATGCATGCATAAGTTCATTGTAAACCTTGCTGACTAGAAATGTTTTACGTGCATGATTTACATGGTAAACTAATTTGATCACATTTGTTTATTTTTGTATTTTCATAGTATATTTAGACTTATGTTGATACTATGTTATTTGTGGTGCAGGTTAGTGTGTGTACTGGTGCACAGTTTTCCATTATTATACATTTAAGTATCATGCATTAAATTTATTTCCTAATGTGCCATTAATTATTTATTTAAATTTTTCTTATGTATTTTTCAGTTGTTTTATTCATGCCTGGAGTTTGCTGTTGCTTCGACATTTAAAAGGTGCTTGTAATATGTAAACTAAAAGTTTAGAGTATGTACTAAGATTTTCTTGTACATTTTTAAATAAAGATTCAAATTTTTAAAAAGATTTTGAAGTGTGTTTTTACCTGTAGAGTATAGGATTATTTTATATATATA